GATTTTCATTCATCTGGAGAATCCAGACTTTGGGTGATCTTCTCAATTATGTTAGAGTATACGTACTATCAATGCTCAGGCAGTGTGGGAAATAACGCTTCGAATAGCACCGATCATGTGACATTACTAAACCAGGTAGATAATAGACCGATCTTTTGAGGCAAGAGGGACTATGATAGGACCAAAATGGAGAGGATTGCAAACCAATGAGGGGATTATGAAACCTGCAGGTAGTGGGAATAAGCCTCATTAAATCTTTTTCAAAGGGCACACATAGACTGGGTTGATATAAACAAGTTAGTAATTGTGTTAGTAAAGATGGTTAAACGAGGAAATATGGAAGGTGAGCGCACCAGGATAACTATTCAGCAGTTGGTTAAAGTATCGACTTCGCTTGTCTCTTAAACGAGTTTTAGTTCGGTGCCGAGACTGCGAGGATTCATAACGATGCCGGTGAAATTTCGTGGACTCTACCAAGCCGACGGTTCGCAGCTGGAGATTATCTGGGATACTCTTTAAGAAGGCTCCAGACAAAGTCCCTTCATCTAAGTCTTGACTTTAAAATCAAGTTGCATGAACGGGGTCAAACTAATTCTTATAACCTTATCTGTATTCATATCATTGTGGGAAAATTCTACTACCAGTCCTTCACATTAACTGATATAGGATGAAGACAGCTCATATAACTGATTTACTGGTAGTCTCGAAACTCTGCTTACATACAAAAAATAATTAATAAAAGCATAAATCTAGAACATAGAATTGTGACTAACTGAAGCAAAGTTTCGCAATAAGCATGACTTTAATCACAATAAATCCCCCAATGTTCCCACTAAGGTAAGTTAAGCTCGTATTTATATATCTTTCAATTGTGTAAATAATCAACGAATTGCATTTCTTTCGCATGGAAAATCCCACTGAGGAGATTCCTGGATTGATTCCACCAGAAGTCTACTGCCCATTTCGTTGGCCCTGCAATTATTTGACTTTACACTGACGCTCAGGTTGACGCAATACACGAGACATCCTCCTTTGGTTCAGATGAAAAGGCCAAACTTTCGTCCGTCATAGGACAAATGTCGTCAGAGGTGGATATTATTCTTACAAAAGCTTTAAGTTAATACTAAGTCAAGAAGACGAGAATATGCTAATATTTACTCTTTAGACCATTGTTTATTCTATGAAGCAAAATGTAATTGCAAACTCATATTGTAAAGCAATGAGTTCTCGTCTATGTATGTACTCAGATTGAGATTTACACAGCATGATAGACATTTGTTCATTAATTTCGCTTATTATACTTTTCAAATATGGCAGAAATCTATTATCTTAAAGCTAATTACGTTCTGTTTTACTCTTGCAATCATTTCAGAATTTTATTATGTATTCTTCTAAATAGTCTGCTCATGTGATTAAGAATCAAGCCAAAATAGAAGGCCAGTAAATTATTGTGAAATATTTTGAGAAAAATTCAAATTAAATATAATCTATAGTGATTGCAATACTAACGTTAGCTGTACGCCTATTTCTATAGCATTAAGTCTTTATTTTACTGAGATTTCTTGCATGACTTGCAGTCAGACAGACCTCTTACATTTCCATTATCTTAAAGTCGCTTTCATCGAAGGTTTTTTGTTACTAGTTTGTTTTGTGAATTGCAGTGAATATTTTTTGGGCTTTGTCTACTACTTGAGCAATAAATAAGCCAGCACTAAATATATTGAACTTGAATGTCTTCGAATATGCACGGGACAAATAAGATCAATCAATTAGTGAGTTACAGATTCACTTTTATGCTGTAACAAGTTAGTTACAGCTTTATTTGTTCCCGTACATAAATAAATATCTGAAAAACTATTATATATTGCCTAGTTATCGATAGTACATTTCACTAAAGGACGCAAGCAATAACAAGCACAACATTTTTACTGTGCCAATTTGGATACGGTATTATTAAGGATTAAGCACCTCCTTGCCACGATAATTTTCTTTACAAACTTTTCCTCGCCGGCAATATTTCAGTACAAGTTCTGTCTATTTGTAACTCTTCAATAAATCGGTTTATTAGTTTCTTCTTACTCAATTTATGTGGTATCTGAGTATCCATCCAATAGGACATTTTAAGCAATTGCATGCTACGATGGCTAATTAGCTGTCATTCGGGTCTACCTCATTCTTAAACCCCTTGAGTATTGTCGATCCAGTTCCCACCAGGTACGAGGTTTTTGATAGTAAATCCTATTTATTATGTGATGCTGCAGGCAATGTTAGATAATGATAACTTTATTTCGCACAATAAATTGAATAGGCCATCTTGTGTTTTCACACAGATTAAAACGCCTTTGCACTACGCGTTGGCCTCATCGGCATTCCCCGGTGAGCTCAAGCCATGCTGATGTGTATCATGATCAAATGTTCTACCTCCAGAGGCTAGCAGAATAAAATTTATTATCTCGTACTTCGTCAATTTCTCCTACATAATTTTAAAACATACTTAATAAATTAATTAAAGATAATAAGGATGTCTTTTAAACTCAATTTTTTTTTATTAGCCTTTGATACTATCAGTAATTATTTAGATATAAACCAATCTAAATGTGATAAGTTCAACTATTCGTCGTTAAATCATCTGAGGCGACCTAGGGGGATTAAGTTCTCTTTTTTTAATAATCTACTGCAAGATATCTTTGCGAAGAAAAGTTGGGTGTAGAGTAATCTCTTGTTTCATAATTGTTGAGCTTACTTCCATTTCGAGTGAAGGGGTTGGGTGAAGAGATTCGAAGGTCGGTTCCACCAAAATACGACGGCGGATTCCTCTTGACCAGCTGTCGATCGACTTTACTGGAAGATTCATGCTGACACTGTTTCCGACGTAATCTCCTTTGAGTTCGGTGAAAAGGTACTAAGCTTTCCTTCGTCATATGAAGAACATCATCAGAGCAAGGTGTCATCGTTACAACAAAATTCAAGCTAACGAGTCAAGAAAACTCACCGGCAAATCCCTAAAAAGCTGTATATATACTCTATGCCTGGCCTCTTTGATCAAGTATAAAGTGATTTGGTTAGTTAAGGTCATATGTCAACTTCGATGACTAATATGTATGTAGAAAGGCGGAGATAGGGGCCATTAAACTTTGATGGCCCAAAACAGACGTTCCTTTTTGCTGTCCTACTTACTTTGAGCCATCACTGCGGGTTTCGTGCATAAGCGATCACAAACAGATACAGGCGCATACAGAAACAGACACACTCACAGGCTTTGAAGTTGATATATGACTGTAACTAACCAAATCACTTTATACTTGATTAAAAAGGACAGATGTAGATTATATATACCACTTTTTAGGGATTTGGCGGTGAGTTTTCTTGACTCTAGCTTGAATTTTGTTGTAACGATGATACCTTGGTCTGATGATTTTCGTCATATGATGGACGAAAGCTTAGCACCTTATCACCGGAATCGAAGGAGATTACCTCGGAAACAGTGTTAGCATGAATCTTCCAGTAGAGCCAATCGACAGCTGGTCAAGCGGAATCCGCCGTTGTCTTCTGGTGGAATCGACCTTCGAATCTCTTCACCCAACACTTTCACCCAAAATGGAAGTAAGCTCTACAAGATATCTTTGCTTTATATTCCATTAACATCAATCTTTCATCCTATATAATTCACAGTTTCCACTTGCTTTACATCGCAAGAACATTACCAGAATAGCATTTTGGTAAAGGTTTTGAATATTTTTATCCAATCTTATTATTATTAATTCCTTCGTTTATAAAACTAGGTATTGGAGATTACCAGTAACTCATATGTATGCAATACATTCACCCCATTTCGTCCAAGATAATGAAGGACTGTTAGCTAAATGTTTCCTACAATAACATTAGCAAGCCTAACGTTTCCATTAAATTTACATATCCTTGATTCCAAAGAGGTATTCTCATCTAGGGTAGATAGCGGCTTCGACCTCGCCTAGCACTCCTCAGAACCTCCAGAGAGACTTACACCCGGTCTGTGGTAGTGCAGCGTATAAGCTCGGAACGTTAATCACTATGTCACATTATCACGATTGCCCTTGGGTCACAGGGAGGATGTTAATTTCATGTAAGGTTAAGCATTTTACTATATCAAATTCTGTGGTGGGATTGTTGATGATTAAAAGTTGTATTTGCTGTATCAATTCCTTTGTATTCGGTTTATGGATGTATTATATATATATGGTCTACTGGTAGTCTCAAAAAACCTGCTTATAATAAAACAAGAAATGTCGTCGATTGCTATCGCAAATACAACTTTGCTTTGTTGATGATCTATCGACAAAATGTGATATGGGGATATTACTGACCTTCCTTCAGAGTTGCATCTGTTTTGTGACCCAAGAGAACTCGTGACAGTTTGGCGTATTGCTTAACAGGTCAAGATTATACAATATACGGTTCGAGTCCCGCTGGGGTGCTGATCAAAGTTATGCGAGATCGAAACTACGACATACTGTGAATCAGAGCACCTTTTGGTAAGCAAAGTTATTTGAAATTACGTGGAAAGATGAGAACTACTTATATCACTGTTGAAAAATTTAACTACTAGTCTTGTATATATATATATATGAATTAATTGACTCGGTATTATAGATAGAAACATGATAGATGCGGTAGAGACTAAAGCTAGTTGGCTAACAATAAGCGTGTTTAATGTACCACGTCTATGATCAACATTCCCAGCACAATGATGAAGGAGGTTGAGAAAGCCAGGGTGGAGTGTGGGAAGTTCTCATGAAAGCTTCTCAAAAGGGCACCATACCACATTTACATAAGCAAATAAGAATTGTGATAGTGAAGGAGTGATACGAGGATATAGGATTAATGAATAGCCCAGGGATAAAAACTAATAGTATAAATGTAATAGACAATTTACCAACGGATCGGGTTCACTTGTCTCTTTGACGAGTTGTAGTGTGGTGATAAGACTGGCAACGCTGAGGTTTTCGGCAAAACGTCTGGGAATGTATCACGTCCACGGTCCGACTGGAAATTATCATGCATACTATGGACTCCGGACTAGGTTAGTTCCTCCAGGTCTTTCTACCAATATGACCAAGTTGCGAAAACAATTAAAATTATTTATATACAACGAAGGGAAACTGCGACCATACTAAAGGCTACACCATTTTGGTCTTCATGCCTTATATTATAATTCTAGGAAGTGTTTTTATCTTAAATTTATTAATCTTTGCTCTGGATGTCTCTTAATTGTAATCATTACATGTAGTTTACATATTTATAATTTGTTTGAAACGACATTTGTTACCCTATACTGATTTCTATTTTTTCAACTTATTTATGCTTCAAATTTATATTCTCTATTAATTTTCATTCGTTTTAATAAAGGTTTTTATTTAAAAAATCGCATATAGCTTTTTGTGTTATAGTCTATTATAGCAATTCTATCGAAGCGAAATTGGTGATGACTATTTCTATGTATATTCTTCTTCAGATCAGTGTGAAGGTTTCATGAAGCAAGCATTGAGTGAATAAATAAATAAACATACATATAGGATATCTTGAGACTTTCTGAACCATTGATAATAACCATGAATTCTGCTATTAAACTTAAAGCTAATATTTTTTCCTTTTTTTGATAGTTCATTTATGTGAATTCGACAACAAGCTACCTACCGGTTCTTCCAGCTGTGATGTCGTCTCTCCTGCTTCCAGTCGTCTTCATCAACACGATCTTCATCATAAGCCTACTACGTCTGCATCATGTTTTGCTGATAATAACTCTTTTCTAAGCGAAGGAGCAACTTTGGGCCAAAATACAGTTGTGACTTCGTCCAGCACCAGTTTTACCAACATTACATGCACATCTGGTGTACTGGATTCATTGCCATTAATGACAGAAGATGCCATCGGTTCCAAAGCTCTGACAAACAAAAGCAAGACTCAGTCACCTCTGTTAATATCCGGCATTTCACCTATCACTGGCTCAATAATGCTGGTATCTAATGTGAGTGCGCCCGACAAAACGCAAAGCGAATCGGGACAAAATGAGTCCATCAAGCTGGGCTTAGGATGGAAATCTACGACTTCGGTACATAAACTGTTAGACCGTGGAGAAAGTGAAAAGAGTGAGTAGGAGGCCTATCTTTCCGTTAAAATTCTTGTGTTATTGATGATGTATGGACTTTTGGTTGAGCATTAATCTTTTTTGTCCTGTGGGCGCTTAAAGATAGATTACGACACTCAAAAATCTTACATATTCATTATCTAAAATGAAGTTCACATTCATACAAAAATTTAGACGAAATTCATCGCAGAGATTGACTGAAAAATCCTGATCCTTTTTCATCAGCTTACGAATAACCATCAATAGTTTGCAACAACAAAGCCTCGTGAGATTACTAATGGTAAGCTAATAGCATAAAATGAACATGAAACTAGGAAACCATATACAAAAGGCAAACTTCCAGCTATTTGTGATCATAATTTATCGTATATAAGTAGAGTTTCGATATTACCAGTAAATCATTTATATGAGATGTATTCACCCTATTTCGTTTAAGGTGATTATGGACTGGTAGTAGAATTTCCCCACAATGATATGAGTAGAGCTGACGTTTTTAATGAATTTCAAAGAGCCTTGCTTTCTCAAGAGTTGTTCTTATCTAGGGTGGACTGCAGTTACCGCCTTGCATAGGTCTTATCAACACCCTCAGCGGGAGTCGAACCCTGAAAGTGCAACATGTGAGCTTGATACACTAACCACTCGGCTACATTGCCACGACTGCTCTTGGCTCACAGGGCAGATGTGAATTTCAAGGAAGGCCAGGCCTTTACCCATATCAGATTATTTGGTGGGAAAATTCTACTACCAGCCCTTCGTCACCTTAAAAGTAATAGGGTGAATACATCTCATATTACCTCTCATGTGATCATCATCTTTTTGTTATTTCTCATTAAGATCCCTTAACATTTAATTTTCAAAGGATTAATCTTTATGATATTACACCTAAAGTTGTCCTGATATTTAATAGCTACATAGATTCTTGTCTGATTGTTATATTGCAAATATAAATAATAGAATACATTGGAATTAAAAAGATACATTACCATATATGTTCCAATTCGAATTTAGCTTCCTTGGTATGCTTTTACTTCTAATTAGTTAATTAAGTTTGAAAGCGAAAATTTTCCCAACAGATTTTATCCGAACAGGATGATTTTCTACTTTCAGTTCACAATTTACTCAAACGTTGTTTTTGTTGTAGGAGTCCTAAACACAGTTTTCCCTCTCCAATATCTAGTAATGAACCTATCTCTATCTTGGAACAGATAACGTCACTACGCGAAGTCAAATTTATAAAGGAATATTGAAGGTCTTTTCTTTTTTATATCTGTGCAATTTGCTTTAGTGCCAGCAGTGTTCTCAGCTTCTATGAAAAGAAAGAGTCCTTGTTGAATTACTCTATAGTCCTTAATTCATTAGGTTATATTTAATGGCATAATATTTATTTCAGTGCGGAGGCAGGCAAAATAGTTTTCCATATTAAGTTAATCTGCCTAACGAACTTTTATAAATTCATCCATCTACTGTTAACTCAGCATAAATTAATCAACGTTAACTTAAATATATCTTATATTATACTAATAAAATCAAATTTATTTACTATTCCTAGCTTATTTGTCGACTATGTTTTAAATTTTTTTTGATCTTTGCATTAATGTTTTATTTTATCCTCTCACATGCTGGGCCTCTTGGAATGCTTTGCCCTTGCAGAAGTAGCTAGCCCGGCCTCTAGCAACCTGACCAAAGAGGACAATTCTAGTGGTCTGAATTCCTCATCCGAGAATCGCAGACACCAGAATCATCACCACTGTCATCATAATCGTCATATTAGAGATCAATACTATCGGACTTATCATCGTCGTCATCATCCCCATTGCAATAGTTCCTATCAAGATAGTCAGCATAATTATTCGGGTCACCATCATCAGAGACATCCATGCTCTCATCGTCCTCGAAATTCACATCGTATTCAAAAGCAAGACAAACGACATCTTTCTGTGCCTCATTATCAGGCCATTCAAAAGCAAGCTGTTGGGAAACAGAACTTTTATCAGGAACAAGATCTAACTTCTGGTGTCAAACATCAGATCTCACCAAGTTCCTCGGTCCTCATGGATCAGGATCCAAAGAACAAGCCCTTATCAGACTGTCATAAAAGTATAATTAACTCGAAAAATCGCACTCATTTGATGAATCATTCACAGCAAATAAGCTATCATACAGACCTAACAACACATAAACGAGTGGATAGTAAACTAACCGACACACAGTCGCCAGTTACCGCCAGCTTAGAGTCTGTTGGAGGTGCTGGTAAGAAGTCAGCTGCTTCTTCGCTTTGGAAATCTGCAACTTCTAGGACATTCCACGCGATTACCAACTTAGCTGATGAGGATTTATGCGCTAGCTATTTACCGTGGATTCCTGTGGTCATCGAATTTGCTAATTTGTAAGCTCAGTCCTAAGCATGACATCGCATGTTCAAGGCTTGTTAATAACTGATTTATGTCATTTACATAAATTTTGACTATCTGATACCAGACGAACCTATTAATTATATGGGTTCTTCAGAAATAAATGCTAAAGCATGTCAAAAGAGTAATTTTGGGAATACTACTCGAAATTTTCCTTTTCATTTACATGCTGCTATTACATTGAAGTGTCAATAAAATTTGAGCACTGGATTTAGGATTACACTCTTCATGGCTATAAGTTAAGCATCCTATTTGGATGGCCTACTTCTCTAAACTACTAAACTTAACTAGAGCTAGAAGTGT